AAAAAGTAAGTTTAAATGTAAAAGAAGTGTTGTAAGTGATTTTTGTAGCTGTTATTAGTGACTGACTGGCATTTACGAATAAGAATACAGAAATTAAAGTTCTACTAAAATGAATACATTTAAAACGAAAATAGAAGAAGAAAAAAGTTTCAAGAATCTAAATGAGAGAAAATTGCAAAAACAAATGAAAAGTTATCAATAAAATCGAAAATATAGCAAAACATTAACGGCTGAGAGAAATGCCGAAGAAAGCGGTTACAATTTAAATTTCTTTTTGCCCAAATTGTTGCCGGTGAAAACAATGTAATTTTTATGGCAATATTTTTCTCGTCATAAAAAAAAAAAAAAAAAAAAAAAAAGAAAAGTATTAAAATAAATATGTATGAAACGTAACAAAATATAGTAAGGAAATACAAAAAGACAAGTAAAAGATAATTGTGTGTTTTATAATCTAAATCATGAGAAGAAAACAAAAAAGAGGCCAAAATTTGCCTTTAAAATGTAAAATAGAGAAGCACTTAATATTGTTTTTTTTAATTTTAAGACATCCCCCCCACACACACATATATATATATATATATATATATATATATATATATATATATATATTATTGAATTAACTCTATTTCTCATTTTACTGATATTTCTTTAGTTTCTTTGTAAGATGAAATTATATAATATGGTTAAAAAAATGAGGCAAATTTCCCTTTTTCAAGTGATTTAACCCTTAAAAGATAACTGGAATTTTTCTATTATGCGTGACATTAGCTGTAGCCTGAAAAACAAAACCAAATTTATTCAGGTTTAAACACTCGGTATATTTGAACCTCCGTACCACCCTCACCCCTAGAAAAAAAAAGGAGCGTTTTGACCCACAGATATTTTTCCCGTTGACAATGCTACTATTTTAACTACTTTCAATCCTCGCCAATGTTTATTCGTTTAAAAAACGATGATTAGAATTATAATAAGACCTAAACATAGGAAAGCAAATTTATATGTTTTCGTTGTACTTTGAGAATTAGCAAGAATAATAAATACTATTTATTTGTTAGATTGTTTATTTACACCAGTTATTATACTCTTTATTGGAATGGATGGTAAAATATCTGGTAGTCGATTCGAACTTTATAAAATGGTAAATAATAAGGATTTACTTATAGCTGGTTCACATAATTTCGTAAATGTTTAAAAATTGATGAATAAGACATTATTTTTATATTCATTTCTTTATGAATTGGTAAATGATAAATATAGTTGTAATGACAAAAGCACGCAGGTGTAGACTTTAAGAAAGCTTTATTAAATTGAGAATAGAAGGTTCGCATATAGTGCCCTTTTATCGTCCCAGTAAACAGAAATAGCTTTGTCAAACAGGAGAGTAACAAAACAAGGGGAGACCACTCTTGATTATTAATAACAAGTATATTTCATAAAAACACTCTGAATCGACACACTCTTCATTATGACTATTATTTTATTACTATTTTTACTCCCTCTTTATTCTTCTTCTTCTTCTTCTTCTTCTTTGATATTTCATTTTGCTTCTTTATTGCCCGCTCTTCAGTATATTTTCTTCGTTTTCACTTCCATTTTGTTATTCTTCTCTTTCTTATTCGCTTTCATTTGGTCCAATCTTGTTCTTCTTGTTCTTGTTAGTCTTGTTGATGTTGTTGTTGTTCTTCTACTTCGTATTATTATTACTAGTAGTAATAGTAATATTAGTAGTATTGCAATGAAAAAGTACGCAGGCGTAGGCTTTAAGAAAGCTTTATTGAACTGAAAATACAAGGTTCGCGTAGAGTGTCCTTTTATAGTCCCAGTAAATAGAAATAGCTCTCTAAAAGAGGAGAGTTACAAAACAAGGGCGGACCACTCTTGATTAATCATAACAAGTATATTTCATAAAAACACACTGAATCGACACACTCTTCATTATGACTATTATTTTAATACTATTTTGCCCCATCGTTTCTTCTTCTTACTACTATTATTTTTATTGTTACTTTTAATATTAATAGTAGTAGTAGTAGTAGTACTGTAATGACAAAACTGCGCAGGTGTAGGCTTTAATCATAGGCTTAATCTAATAAATAAATAAATAGCGTTCAGTATTATTGTTGTAAATTCTCAAGAACAAGAAATATATAAATTTACTTTATATATACTAGCAGGAGAGCCCGGCGTTGCCCGGGGATGTAACAGTAAGAGATAGATCAAGTATCGACCATCATAAAGACTGAAAAATAAAACTGACAAAGATTATTGATTCAGGTTGACGGACACGCATGTCTTAATTAGTTTTTTTTTTTTTTTTTTTTTTTTACGAATTGGTCAAACCCAAACTCAAAGATGAGTCTACCGATTGAATAGAATTTTATTATAAACAATTGTCTTGTAAATGGAATTTTTAAAGCATTCTGAATGTAAAAATAAAAAAAAAAGTATGTAAGACAATAAGAAACACTACCTGCCAAAAAAAAAAGATTTGTTGAAATCGGTTGAAAATGTAGGAAATCCGATCCCATATATAAACGAACACACACATACACAAACAACCTCGGTTTTATAATAAGTATAACTCGATATGAGTTGTCCCCCTTTCATTCTGGCGACAGAATCGTGTTTTATCGTGTTTTCAAATTGATTTCGTGCAAAAACAATTGTGTTTTTCCAATTTTGGCGCTGTCACAACTACCGCAAGCTAATTTTACGCAGTCCTGTGAAGTTTTGTTGAAATCAGTTAAAAAATGTAGGAAATCCCATCCAATATATACACGTACAGACACACACACACACACACACACACACACACACACACACAATCCGTGTTTTATAATAAGATATATATATATATATATATATATATATATATATATATATATATATATATATAAATTGTGTGTATTTAGGCAGCATTTTTCATTAATGCATATTTCTTTAAATCATATAGTCAGGTTTTTTGTCTATTTTAAGTAAATTCCTTTCATATTGTCGAATAAATTTTCTCGTATTATCACTGAAACACGAAAGAAAATCAATGTTTTTATTGTTGCAATATCCGCATAATCGATCTAAAACAAAAATTACCATCTTTGTTATTTGATTTATTATTTAATTTATTGTAATGTACTTGTAATCTCTGATGATGGCTTATGTAAGCCGATTGCTTAGACAATATTAACAATAAAATCATGTATCAATATGGTGATTTTCTTTCGTGTTTCAGTGATAATACTCAAAAGCTTATTCGACAATATAAAAGGAATTTACTTAAAAGTAGATAAAACTTGTGTATATTATGTAATGAAACATGCATTATATATATATATATATATATATATATATATATATATATATATATATATATATATATATATATTTTAATGCCTATAGATAATGCAATTTGCAAATAAAAATATATTTGAACAAACCGATATCAGGGAAAAATTCAGTAAAAAAAAGAAAAGAGTAAAAACATTCGTATTCGTCGAAGATAATCAATCAGCACTGCAAAGAAAGAAAGACCGACAGAGTAAATTAAGTAAAAACGTAAAAGTACTCAATACACTAATAGAGCAAAATTAAAAAAAACCTGGCTCACTATGTTATATATATATATATATATATATATATATATATAACGTATTGGTACATGTTTAATGTGTGGTATTCACTTCATCAACCAAAAATGTACGTTGATTTAAATTTTAAATTTGAATATCGCTGTAGAATACAAACGAGACAGACAATCATTCAGAATGTTTAGAAAAAGATAATACACTCATTCAAAATATTTATGACGGCGAACAAAGAAGATTGATTGATTAGTTTTTACGGTTTATCAACCTTATTGCAGGTTGTTTAAAGCCATAATTTTTTTTTCGATTGTAAGAATTTTGTTTGAGATAATACTGATGTACTTATTGAAGTCCTAATAATTAATCTATAACGGGGGCTAGAAGAGGTTGATTTTTTACATTTCCCAAGGATAGTTTTTACGTAAATGAATACAACAAACCTGACAGGATTTGGAACTCGTCGATTTCTAATTCCGAGCCGTTTTCCATTACACAACCTGCACTTTCAAACTTACAGTATCAAGAAAAAGAAGAAAGGAAGAAACAATGTTCGTAACATATGATCATTAAAATTCTCGCAAATTATTTCTTCAAAATTATTTTACAACTCTAAAAAATTTAAATTATTGTATTGTTTCCTCTTGCGCACACACCTGTTTTTATCCATATTTCAGAGATGAGGTATGATATACACTATTTACATTATTCGGACTATTGTCCTCATCTTTGTCGCCATATTTATTACAACATTTCACCCGTTGTACACTCCGGTCTTCTTCAGGTGCATTATTTCGTTCACTGGGGTAGACAGTTCTAGTTCCACATGCCATGCCTGTGCATGTCTTTATCCACTGTGCCATGTGTCCTTGGGGACACATAGTACAGTGGATGAAGTTATTAGTTAGATCCAGTGACAGGACCCAAAGAGTATGAGTTATTCAGGTTGTTGGAATGTTGAACTGAACCCTTTATTTCGCTCACTTGGGTAGACTGTTCTAGTTCCACGTGACAAATCTAATAGATTTCAGTTATCAGATATCTCCTGTTAATTCCCCTCTCGAAGTTCTGCACCGCCTTAACCACAGTGGCACATTGGATAAAGGCGTTAGTTACATGCAGTGACAGGACACAAAGCGTGTGAGTTCAATACCTGGTTAAGCCGGTGGACAACTTGGATAGGGGAATTAACAGAAGATAACTGATAACTGACATCCATTAAACATGGCACGTGGGACTAGAACAGTATACACCATTGAGCGAAATAAAGAGTACATTTCGACATTCCAACCACCTGAAGAAGGCCGGAGCGTACAACAGCCGAAACATTGTAATAAATATGGCGACAAATGTACAACGGCCGAAATGTTGTAATAAATATGGCGACTAAGATGAGGACAATAGTCCGAATAATGTAAATAGTACACCTGCTTTGGTTTCTGTACCTCCAGCTTTCTTATTTCTCTTTCTTTCTTTCTTTATTTCTTTGATTTTCTACTTTCTTTCTTTCTTTTTTCTTTCTTTCTTTCTTTCTTTCTTTCTTTCTTTCTTTGATTTTCTACTTCTTTCTTTCTTTCTTTTTTTCTTTCTTTCTTTGATTTTCTACTTCTTTCTTTCTTTCTTTCTTTTTTTCTTTCTTTCTTTGATTTTCTACTTCTTTCTTTCTTTCTTTCTTTTTTTCTTTTTTTCTTTCTTTCTTTGATTTTCTACTTCTTTCTTTCTTTCTTTCTTTTTTTCTTTTTTTCTTTCTTTCTTTGATTTTCTACTTCTTTCTTTCTTTCTTTCTTTTTTTCTTTTTTTCTTTCTTTCTTTGATTTTCTACTTCTTTCTTTCTTTCTTTCTTTGATTTTCTACTTCTTTCTTTTTTTCTTTCTTTCTTTCTTTTTTCTTTCTTTCTTTCTTTGATTTTCTACTTCTTTCTTTCTTTTTTCTTTCTTTCTTTCTTTGATTTTCTACTTCTTTCTTTCTTTTTTTTCTTTCTTTCTTTCTTTCTTTGATTTTCTACTTCTTTCTTTCTTTTTTTCTTTCTTTCTTTCTTTCTTTCTTTCTTTTCTGCTTCTTTCTTTCTTTCTTTTTTTTCTTTCTTTCTTTCTTTCTTTGATTTTCTACTCCTTTCTTTCTTTCTTTCTTTCTTTCTTTTTCTTGCTTATTTTCTCTGTCTCTACATTTTCGCCTTAGTTTAATTATTTTTCTGTTTCTTTCTTTCATATTTTTCTATCTTTCTTCATCTTTCTTTCCTTATACTCTTCTAGTTTCTTTCTTTCTCTCTTTCTTCTTTGTTTCTTAATTTCTTTCTTTTTACAAGGTAATCAAAAAAGTTCTGTCCGTTTTTAAAGGAAGAAAAAGAAAACGCTTCACAGTATGTGTAAATTATATTTAGTCTTCGAAGTAATCGCCATCGGCATCCAGCACCTTCTGCCAACGTGTCTCCAGCTGTTCAATGCCCTTGCGGTAGAACTCGGGGTGAGGGGTTTGATGCAAAGAAATCCGTGAGGGCTTTGCGCAAGTCTGCTTCATTGGTGAAGGAATTACTTCGAAGATGATTATCCAGGGAATGGAAGAGGTGGTATTCCGATGGCGCAAGGTCAGGTGAATAAGGTGGATGGCACAAAGTCTCCCACCCAAGTTGCTGTATGGTATCCCTGGCCACTTACGCGACATGCGGCCTGGCGTTGTCATAGAGGAAAAGAACACCTTTACGATTCACCAGTGCTGACTCCTTCTGGCGCTGTGAGTATAGGTCTCCAGTGACCGTTTGGCCCGTTGGTAGCAGTTCATAATGAACCACTTGACGACCTGTCCACCAGACACAAAGCAGAATCTTGCATGGGTGCATAGGCGGTCTTGCGGTGTGAGGAGACAACCAATGTCTAGAACGCTTGGGAGTTTCGTACAGAACCCACTTTTCATCACTGGTAAGCACTCGGTTGAATAAGGATGCGGTACGGTGGCGAGAAAACAGCGATACGCAGGCTGCCACTCGTTGTCCCTTGTGGACCTCCAACAACGTTTACGGAACCCACTTGCGCAGTTTGTACGTCTTACCTAGGCGGTGCAGGTGAAGTCTAACTGTTTCATCGGAAACGTTGAACTGTCTTGCAAGTTCACCACGTTAGACGACTGTCCTCTTTAATGGCCGCCTTCAGGACTCCGTCATTCAAGACCTGTGGTCGTCCACTGCAAGGCTCATTATGGAGAGACAAATCTCCCGACTTGAATTTTCGAAACCAACGCCTTGCAGGACGTTCATCCACAACACTATCCCCAAACGCTTGACATATGCGGCGACTTGATGCAGCTGCTGATAAGCCCACTTTGAAGTCGTAAAGCAAACAGCCCCGAACGAGATCTCTAGACACTTCCATCCTTCTCACAGCTGTCCGGCTTATAACTGATGGCCGGCACGGTGCGTGTGTTTTTTATAACTTCTGATGTACCTACTTCCGGCTGTCCGAATTTGAAAACAACTGCTACATGCATTTCGTATATATTTCAACTTCATTCAATGACTAATCAAAAAACGGACAGAACATTTTTGGTTACCTTGTATCTGCCTTGTTTGCTTTATCTTTTTTTTGTTCTTGTTTTCTTTCTTCCTTTTTTATTCTTTAATTATTTCACTTTTTCTTCATTCTTTCTTTCTTCTTTTTCTCTCTTTCTATTGTTCTTCTTTTTCTTTTTTATTTATGTATTTCTAGGTTCTTTCTTTCTTTCTTCTTTTTCTCTCTTTCCTTCTTAATTTCTAGCTTTCCTCTTTATTTATTTCTAGCTTCTTTCTTTCTTTCGGCTTTTCAATCAACACTTAAAAAAGACAATTGTTGGTAAGTTTAAAATATTAAACACTAAAACAGAATTATCAATGAAATGAGGTGAAACAGTACAATAGTAGAATTTATCTACCATCTCACATTGACATACAATAAGATGTTGAATTTTTTTTTTTATTTCTCGACCTAAACCTACTCTTTGCAAACAGAAGGATTTTCTTTATTCCTGGAAGTTACGCGGTATGTGAAATGGCTGATAATGCCTAATTTCAAAGCGTTTTCCCTCGGTTTATTGACAACACTGCTCTGTTGATTTATAAACTTATCGACGATCCCTTTTCATCAAGAGTTGACCGATCGAAATGCAGGACTTTGAATAGGATATACACCAATATTTTTGAACAGTTAATTTAAACATGTTTTAGTATCTTCATGCTATATTTACAAATCAGAGGGAGCCATTTTTGCGTTTCAATCAGAATGGCTGATGCTAACCTCGAGAAAAGCAAGAAACTGATCGATCATGATTACATATATATATATATATATATATATATATATATATATATATATATATATATATATATATATATATATACGATAGGATAAATAAGAAACAGATCGCAATCTAACATGTTTTATTTTGTTAAAGCTTTGTCAGAGATCAAGAGAGAATATATATATATATATATATATATATATATATATATATTAAAGAAAAACAGACCACTTTAAGGTTCCATTATAATAATTTATTTCATCAGAGCCCTTTTAAAGGGTGTCAGATCATCAGATTGCACTTCCAAAAATGAAACGAAAAATGAAATCAAAATTGATGGGTAGTGTAAGTTTTTGTAATTTAACAGAGAGTGTAAAAGGAGTAGTCAGAGAGACATGGTAGAATTTAGGGAGGGTTTAATTTAATATCTCTCCCAATCATACTTAGTATTGGGGGAGGAAGAGTGACCAGACCTTGATCTATTTAAACGGTTAACTTAACGGAAGTGATATATTGAAATGGAATTTACATTGAGCTCTCAGGATTTCATCCTCCTTGGGATTACCCATACGGATTACTAAGTTTTTCATAATTTATATATATATATATATATATATATATATATATATATATGTGTGTGTGTGTGTGTGTGTGTGTGTGTGTGTGTGTGTGTGTGTGTGTGTGTGTGTGTGTGTATTTGATCTGACGTGCTATACTATTTAACTACAGAGAAGCGACTGGTTAGCAAATTCCAAATTATTGTTTGTAAATAAACAAGATCGAATATATCTGCCCACGAAACGTATCTTAAAGTAAACAATGACAATATACAATGAAATGGATTAAGTTGGTGAGCTGATATGATCGATCGAGAAAAATAGTCGGAGATTGAATGTTTATGAACAATAATTTAGACTTTGCTAACCAGACGCAACTCTGTAGTGAAAGATATAGCACATCAAATCAAATGACGTATAGGAATACACGTTTGGCAACTGATGATTTAACCTCTTTTCGAAAGTAACTCATATTTTGATACAACAGTTGTCAGTGAAAAAGTACACCCTACCGCCCTTATTAAAATGATTGGTTTTCCCTTATATACAAAGAAACTAATATTATGAAAGTATTCTGGTAATATTTTTTTTCTTCAAAAAATCTATTTTTGGTAATATTTTTTCCTTCAAAAAATCTATTTCTGGTAATATTTTTTCCTTCAAAAAATCTATTTCTGTTAATATTTTTTCCTTCAAAAAAACTATTTTTGTAATATTTTTTCCTTTAAAAAATCTATTTCTGGTATTATTTTTTCCGTCAAAAATCTATTTCTGGTATTATTTTTTCCTTCAAAAATCTCTTTCTGGCAATATTTTTCCTTCAAAAATCTATTTCTGGTAATATTTTTCCTTCAAAAGATCTATTACTGGTAATATTTTTTCCTTCAAAAAATCTAATTCTTGTAATATTTTTTCCTTCAAAAAATCTAATTCTGATAATATTTTTTCCTTCAAAAATCTATTTCTGGTAATATTTTTGCTTCAAAAAATCTATTTCTGGTACTATTTTTGCTTCAAAAATGTATCGCTGGTATATTTTTTTTTCCAAAAATGTATTTCGAGTAATAATTTCTTTTTACAAAGTATTTCTGATATTAAAAGCTATTTTGACACTTTCATGGTGTTTTGACCCCTGGTTTAGGGGTTAATTATTTGCCCATAGCTGGGATCCTAACCGGTGCTACCACCCGGGTCACTGTGGATCTGAGAACAAGAGCAATTAAGAATTGGTTCCACGCTCCTCAAAACCTCCTGATCAGAGGTTTTGCTGTTGGACGTAGTTTATCGTCTTAGCCAGGACATGGGTGTAGTTTATCGCCATAAACAGGACGACTTGTTCATCTTAGAATTGTCTGTTAATTGATTGGTTACTAAGAGGAATTAAGTAAGTTTATAAGAAGACTTATAATATTTCTTTGTAGAGTTATATATTTTTTTACTTGAAATTTAAAAAGAAAAATATATAACTTTAAGAAGACGGACATTCTGTTTAAATATTGTTTAACATTGTCAAACACTTCGTTTTTTTTCTTTTTCTTATTTTGAAATAATAAAAAAAAAGTGAGAAGGAAATAAGAAGAAGTCTAAAAGCGGAGATGAAGTACTTGGCAAATATTCCCATGACCTCCATTGTCAGGTTTCACCAGGTAAGCAAAAAGTTCCACTTAAACAGCTTGTTTGGAATAACTGATATTTTGTCTGAACATTCCCCGGCGTACAAGCTTCTATGAACATTAGATTATTAATCTCTTCATGTTAATGGTTTATTTATATCTGTCCTTATCGTCATAGCATTTGCTTCTTAATACCTCCTTTTTCACTCAAGGCGTTGCTGTTGTGTTAATAAGATTACTAATATTACGTCAAATACTGTTTCGCT